GAATGCTCAAGGTTACAAAGAGTGCAAACCACTGCCTACTCCCCACCCTCTCCCTGTGTCTTACAGGGAGCTCCAGGCTGCATCTATAGAACTGGTCTTTACTCCTCTGCCTTTCCTCCTCACCTTATTCGCCCACCTTCAAATGTTCTGATGCACAGATCTCTCAGACATGTTTGTGTGCTAGGCTGGGTGTTCTCCATTGTGTCGTAGCTGTTCAGCTTGTAATTTCAAGGGGAGAGGTCAGGAGGATCACTCATACCACATGATCTTGACATCAGTCCTCTTTATTTAGTCATCTATTAATGGGCATTTATATTGCTTCCGTATCTTGGCTATTGTGAATAATGCCACAGTGAACATAAAGATGCATATGTTTTTCAAGTCAGTATTTTGGATTTCTTTATATAAATACCCAGAAGTGGAATTTTTGAGTCATAAGGTAGTTCTATTTTTAATTTTCGAGGAACCTCCATACTATTTTCCATAGTGGCTGTACCAATTTGCAGTCCCACAAACAATGCATGAGGGTTCCCTTTTCTCCACATCCTCACCAGCACTTGTTGTTTGTTGTCTTTTTGATCATAATCATTCTGACAGGTGAGAGGTGATATCTCATTGTGATTTTGACTTACATTTCCATGGTGATTAGTGATATTGAGCATCTTTTCATGTGTCTATTGAACATCTGTATATCTAAAGAAATGTCTATTCATGTTCTTTGCTTATTTTTTGATCAGATTGTTTGTTTTTTATATTGAGTTGTATGAGTTATTTATATATTTTGGATATTAACCTTATATAGATGTATCACTCACAGTGTCTTCTCCCATTCAGGAGGTTGTCTTTCCATTTTGTTGTTGGTTTCCTTTGCTGGGCAAAACCTTTTTAGTTTGATATAATCTCATTTGTTTATTTTTTCTTTTGTTTCCCTTGCCCAGTGAAATATATTTAAAAATATATCACTAAGAGAAATGTCAGAGAATTTTCTGCCTATATTTTCTTCTAAGAGTTTAATGGTTCCAGGGCTTACATTTAAGTCTTTAATACATTTTAACTATATTCTTATGTATGGTGTAAGAAGGTGGTCTAGTTTCATTTTTTACATATGTCTATCCAGTTTTCACAACAGCATTTATTGTCTTTACCACAGTCTTTACCACATTGTATATTCTTGCCTCCTTTGTCATAAATTAAATGGCCATATTGGCATAAATTTATTTCTGGGCTCTCTGTTCTGTTCCATTGATACATGTGTCTGTTTTTGTGCCAATGCCATGCTTCTTTGATTACTATAGTTTTGTAGTATAGTTTGATATCAGGTAGCTTGATACCGCCATCTTTGTTCTTCTTTCTCAACATTGCTGTGGCTCTTTGGGTTCTTTTGTACTTCCATGTAAATTTTAGGGTTATTTGTGGTAGTTCTGTTAAAAATGTCATTGGCATTTTGATAGACATTGCATCAAATCTGTAGATTGCTTTGTGAACATTTTAGCAATGTTAATTTTTTCATCCATTAGCATAGCATATCTTTCCATTTATTTATCATATTTAATTTTTTTAGCCAATGTTCTATAGTTTTCAGAGTACCAAAATATAAGCTTTTATTGTATACATTCTTCTCCCCACCAAACCTTCTATTCTTCCTCAAAAATTTCTTCTGGCAATCCTTCTAGTTATTTTATATACTTTTCATTTCTCGTTTATAAAAGTTGTACAATTTTCCATAAGATAAATGGACCACAATTTGTTCGGTCATTATTACACTGGTTATTGCCAGTCTTTGAGTAAACAATTCAGCAAAAAGTATGTGTGTACCTATGTTAAGTATTAATATTTTTATTTCATTTATTTTAGAAAATTTCCAAAAGGAGAATTCTTAAAAATGGAAAACAATATTTGAATTTAATAAATTGCATTCCAAAAAGCCATAATACTACACATTTATATTAACAAAGCACAGAGATATCCTTTTTTACACATTATATTCATTAACAGGTTTTAGAGTGCTTTTTGATTTTGATGAGTTGAAGGATGTTGAAACAATATACACTACAATTTAATTTATATTTACCATTAGGAAGAACTGGTTACCGTTTACAATGGATTCTGCAATAAATTTCAGTTATAAAGTTTCATTGTTTTTCATGTAGGCTCACATCAGAACCATTTTCTTCATCACAGAAAACTGAAAAAAAAAATTCTACATCAAGAGAATCTTGACGTGAGCCTAATTATTGGGACTCGCAATTCTAACATCCATTCTGGTGTTAGGCAGCAATCATGTTTGTGTGTGCTTCCATATGCACTTGTACATTGCCTCTTAAGGAGTCCAACAAAGCACTTCTCTAATGTCCATACAACAAACTAAACTTCTGGTCATCTCTGTTTGTTATTTCAATCATATTCATGGGTCCACTCTGTTCCATTTTTTGGTGAATGTTCATTTACTTTACATAGACTGCCAACACCAACAAACTCTGATCACTTTTATCTTTGGATTTGTGCCAGTATTTCCCAAGAGCTCGAAAGTATCCTATTAAGAAAGAAAGCCTGGAACATTCACTGACTCGAAGGAGTCTGCTGTATATTTTCCATGTCTCTGGACAGGCAGCATGTAGGTAAAGCTTTTTGAGACTATTATCTTCATTCTTCATCTTGAGTTACAACTGTACTCACTGAATGAGGGGCTTAAAGCTGGAGCTAATGAGGACTTAGGGAGCTTGTAAAGTCAAGAGGAAAGACAATTGCCTGTCACTTACCCATAGCAGACATTACTTTCACCCAAAGCTTGGTACATCAGCTTTCTTACACTGTACCTGAGCTTAGGAGTCTTGCTTATCTGAGAACGACAAGGACAGTTTCTACCTAAGATAGACAAAGAGAATATAGCCAACATGTTGAGTTTATCAGGGCATTCAGGAGGGAAAAAAAAGTTATTTTATAATTGTCCCTGATAAGACCATTCTTTTTTACATATTAGTCATGTTTGTCTTTTCTAAGTTACATCTGCCAATGGAAATTAACAAGACCTGAATCCCCAATAATGCCAAACAGAGCTTAGCCTAAAGACACTGAGAAATGTCTAAATGTTCCAGTTATAAAATAAAGTTATGCTTATGAACTGGTTTCTAGAACAGTAGTTGAACTGATCCATTTTGGAAACAAATAGTTAGAAACTGATTTCAAAAGTTTGTTAACAAACAATATTAAAGTGATATTGTCAACTAAATCCAACCATGTAGTTCGGCCATTGGGCTGCAGCAAAAGTTCCTCATGCTAGAATATTTGCTTACAGATGTCCCCAGGGTCTGTGCTCTCGACCCTCTAGATACTGTTTTCCACCTTGGTATCTATGTGTTCTGTTTAGAGACTGGATGTTTTCCCAGGACTTTCTGCAGAGCCCCCACTACATCCTTGTTTCTCAGGCTGTAGATGAGTGGATTTAGCATGGGTGTGAGGACAGTGCAAAACACAGACACAGCCTGCTCCTGCTCAGGGCTGTGGGAGGAACCAGGTGTCATGTACAAATAAACACATGGCCCTAGATAAAAACTTACCACCATAAGATGGGAGGAGCAGGTGGCCAAGGCTTTTTTCCTGCCTTGGGGAGATTTCATACGAAGGACAGTAAGGAAGATGAAGATGTAGGAAGCCGTGATAAGTCCAAAAGGGATGATGATAAATGAAATGCCCATCACAAAGACCACCAGCTCATAGGTGGAAGTGTCTTTGCATGAGATCTTCATAATTGCTGGCATCTCACAGAAGAAATGGTGGATTTCTCTGGAGCCACAGATAGGCAGATTCATGGTATAAATTGTGTGGGCTGTGGAAGCCAAAATGCCCCCAATCCAAGACACTACAGCCATTTGCAGGCAGACCTCATGGTTCATGATGACCACATAGCTCAAGGGGTTACAGACAGCTACATATCTGTCATAAGCCATGAGAGTCAAGAGGATGCATTCAGCACCCCCAAGAGTAAAGAAGAAAAATATCTGAGTTCCACAGGCCAGACGCGTGATGGTCTTCCTCCCAGAGAAAAAGTTAATCATCATTTTTGGAACAGTACTGCTGATGAGGGCCAAGTCCACGAGGGAAAGCTGGCTGAGCAGAAAGTACATTGGGGTGTGGAGCCTCAAGTCCATGGCGATCAGGAGCAGCAGGGCAAAGTTCCCTGTGACTGCAGTGAGGTAAATCAAAATGATAGCATAGATAAGGATGCTGACGAACCTCAAGTTAGGGAAGAGTCCCAAGAGAATGAAATCTGTTGCCAGTGTCTCGTTTGCTTCCTTCATGGCTATGATTGCTCTGGTTCTACCAAAATGAAGCAAGAAAAACAAAAGTCAAACGAAATATTGTAAGGCCTTTCAAAAAATGTGCTGGCAGTTATTGCTGTAATAATGTGAAGTAAAAAATAACTCCACAAATTTTAGCAGCTTATGACAAAAAAATATATACATATTCTCTTGCTCCTATATCTGCGGGTCAGTTGGGGCATTTGGCTTTGAGAAGCAGGTCAGGTACAGATGTCCTCCACCAGACACGTCTCACTGTAGGGCTATCCCCTCTCAAGGAAGATGGCAGATGCCGAAAAGGGTCAAGCAGAGTCACGATGTTCCCTAAAGCCTGAGTGCAGAACTCATGCTATCACTGTCAATCACATTCCACGACAAAAGCAAGTCACACACAAAAAGAAGCCCAGCATCTATTTGGTGGAAAAGGAACCTCCACCTACAGGGAACCATAAAAGGATAAACATAAAGAAGTAATTGGAGATGATTAATATGCTCTATTATGTTTCTCAAAACTCCTACCACCACTATCCTCAGTTTCATGGTCTTGATTCTGGGTTTTCAGAAATTTCATAATTTAATTCTTCATCTTCTATTTAATGTGTTTTATTAGGCCTCAGTAATAAACATCTATGGATTTATTATGATTACAAACTAATTTCACTATGGTGAACTTGAGGTTATACATAGCCATTTAATATAGTCACGGTTAGACATGCAATAGGTAAACTCATAAACTCTTAGCAGTTTTTTTTGTGTATGGATCTGGTTACTAAATCCATGGAATAAACTACAGATGGGTGTGAAGAAGCATGCAGTGAAACAAATATGTTATCCCTGTTCTTGAGTGCAATCTGGGATGTCATTTTCTAAAACAGTACACATCAACCAGGAAATGAACTTAGATAGTCAGGGTTGTGTTTTTCTTTAGATTTATTCATGGAAACTCAATACAAACCACATTAGGATAAATTCAGAAATAATAACTAAATCAGATTCCATAAGCTGTATGTGAGAAATTAGATTGTGTTCAAGAGGGAGGCCTCTCTACAAGTTTGAAGTAGAAATGGAGAATTTTCTACTCTAAGCAGCTTGGGAGAGGCTAGAAGGAACTAAGCATGAAATGTAATTTTTTATGAGCATGTTACTAATTGCTCAGATGGTATATAGGCATTAAGAAAACATAAATCTGAACACATGGATGGATCTTAAGATTATCATACTAAGCAAAATAAGTCAGAAAAAAGACAGCAAAACCTGAGAACTATATAATTTCACTCACGTGGGACATGACATAAAACCGAAAGCAACAGAGACTTATAGACACAGACAACATTTTAGTGGTTACCAGAGGGAAAGGGGGGAGGGGAGTAGATAATGGTAAAGGGGGTCAAATATATGATGATGGAAGGAGATTTGACTTTAGGTGGTGAACACACAATGCAATATACGTATAACATATTATTGAATTGTACACTTGAAATCCATATAATTTTATGAACCAGAGTCACCACAATAAATTCAATAATAAAAAGAAAGAAAACAGAAATCCACTAGAACTGTATAGTGTAGGAAAATGCAGCTGAGGCACCAAATTTAAAATGTAACATAACAATATTCCCCGCTCTCCCCACCAACACTGCTAGTGGTGCCTCCTGGTGGCACCAGCAGTGATGTGTAAATTCCTACTGAAAACACAAAGATACACTTTGAATTTACTGTTAATGCTGCTTCACTGATTTGAGTTTATCAGGTTCACTGACTTCTGGAACCCAGTAATTATGCCTTCCTGCCAGTGACGGCTAGATTTCCAGGCAGAGGGTATGGAAGGCTCTTAGAAACAGGAGATGGAAGGTAAAGAAAGAACCAGATTCAGGAGGTGGTTTGATTTAGTGAAAATGTTCTTAAGGTTTGTCCCAACTTGAGGAATCTTAAATGTCCAATTTAAGAACATATGTTCTAAAGTTGCACCCTGCTGATTGAACTAAATATTCTTCCTGGCATCTCAAGTTGCTACAAAGGTTCTAATAAGAAGACACACTACACTGAAGAGGTGCAGAACCACCAATATGAGTATTGGAAGCCAGGTTTGTTTTGTTCTCATTCTACCTGTACCCGTGTACCCCCATGCACCAGATTTTCCTCAAAACATCACACTCCTCCAAGAATTGCTCTTCCTGGTTCCTTCCTGAGGGAGAGCTGGTACTGGAGACAGCGTTTGGGTTTCTACCTCAGACAGTATTTCTGAGATCATATAGACAATTACAAGTATGAAGGACAACAGCAAGTGCTCCAGAGGATCCTTAAGGCAAACAGAACACCATGGAGGACATGAATCCCTAGGCATGCGTTAATTGACTTGATTACATCCACTGCACTCACTTTTGCTCAAAACAAAACTCCATAAGGAAAAAATTACCCTGTTTATCCAGGACTTTATTCTCCTGGGTTGCTTAAATATGTCCCATATTTTGGCCTCCCTAAGGGTCTCATTTACTTGGGATTCATTTTCAGATTCATCAACCAGAAATCATGTTCTTGTGAACCTTTACTGAATTTACATGAGAAATTATAAATTTATTTTTTCCAGTAGTGGCTGCATAAGGAAAGAATATTTCTCTCTTGCTGATTCAAAAAGCATTGTCCTTCAAGACAAACAGAGCTATTTACCATAGTGAAACCTAGCCATCTTGGATTTCAAATAATTTCTTTTCTAATGGTTTTCCACAAATAATATATAGGTATGTTATCAATGGGAAAGCTTTCTAAAAACACACACTTACAAAGAGTAAGCAGTAAAATCTACTTCTTTTCCTATCTCACCAGCTCGGAGTTGTGTGTTCAAGGGTGGCTGCCACAGAGACGACATTACGATATATCAAGAGACGTATGATATCAGCACGAGTCATTGGTTGTGGTGTTAACCTTCTCCACTTAAAGTACTGTTATCCATAATTTTCTTTGTTTTAAAGGTACAATGTTTTCTTTACACACTACATTTTTAGAAGCAAATCTCTATATCCAGTACACAGTCACTGGGGGAAGGGCTTAAGCTTTACTTTCAGAAAATGATTATCTACAGATTTATTACTTGGAATTCTGTGAGAAAGTTTTGTCCCTTCTTCTCCATTTATTTATTAAACTATTTATCTTTATCAATATGACTTCAGGTATGTGGATTTTTTACTTGGTGTTACAATTCATCACCATGTTACTTATTCACTGTATACCCTAGGAGTAGGGTTGCTGTGTTTTATGGAAAGTCTGTATTTTACTCCATAAGAAACTGTACAGTTGCCTTTGAAAGTGGCTGTACCATTTCACATTCTTATCCTGGCCCACACTGGGTGCTGTCAGTCACTTGTGTTTTAGCCATTTAACAAACTTGCAGTGCTGTGCTATGGGATTTAAACTAAATTGTATCGTTCAAATTACTAGTAAGTAATTTTCATTGCTTGAAGGCAGTATCAGATCAAATCTTTTGTCTTACATATATATTCTAATTACGGACAATTCAGAATTTTCTGCATATTCAGCTGTATGCTTTGCAAATATATTTTCACATTCTATGGCTTGTAATTTTATTCTTTTAATCATGACCTTTTAAAAACATAGAAGGGCGCTCGAGGTGAAAGCGCTGCAGACGCCATTGTCCTCTGATTCTTGTGGGGCCAACCTCAACATCTCGCCTACATCCGACTTGTTTATGGCCTGCAGTTTGGTGTGTCTGTTTAAACCCCACCCCAAAAAATGGAAATGGAACAGCTAGAGGCAGCCTTCACCAACACCGAAATCAATGGCGAATGGAAGAGAAACAAGCTTTAAAAAGGTCTGGAAACACCGACGAGAAGATTGAATTGTGCATTCTGCTTGAGAGCGCGAAGGCTGGGGCAGCGACGGGAAAGGACCGGAAAGCGGAGCTGTGACGGAAGAACTTGCACAGGGCGCCCGGCCACAGCTGCTCCCCGGACGCTGGCCTCTCCTCTCCGACGCCAGCCTCGTCGGAGGAAGCCTGGGAGCGCTGCAAAGGCAAACAGATCGTCCATGGTCGTTTACCAGGGTCTTCCATCAAAGGACATGCCCGCCTTATTCCAATTTTTACGGCGAAACCTATGATTGCGGTAGCTTCACAGTGAAGCTTGATGGCCGCCGTGGGCATCCCATGGGGTTTCCACGCGGGGAGGAGGAGGTTTGGACAGAAGGCCTCATGGTTGGGCGGCGTTGGATGCCTCTAGCTGGAAGAAGTTAGGATGGTGCGAGCTCCCACGAGGACAACCATCCCCTCAGCACCACGTACAAGGTGGCCGCGGAGGTGGCAGCTCTCGGAAGCTTCCCGTTCCTCCACCGCCACCTGGAGGACACCCAACGGCCTGTGACAGAAGAGGGGCCGTCGGAGACCGTTATGATGGCATGGTTGACTACAGTGCGGTGAAGCTCGGGGCTCTGCAGTTCACTCATAGAGCCCTCGGAATGACAGATGGCTGTGAATCACAGGGTGGCTCCGATGGGATTGTCCCTATGCAGGCGGCCATCGCTCATGTGGTCATCTTGGTGAACGTGCTATCACAAGTCACAACTCCCAAAGATTTAGCTGGATCTGTTTTGGGCAAAAGTGGTCAGCGGATTGAACAAATTCGTCCTAAGTCGGGAGCTTGGATCAAAATTCATGAAGATCGGGTCATTACAGTGACAGGAACACAGAACCAGATGCAGAGTGCTCAGTGCTTGCTGCAGAACAGTGCGAAGCAGAATGCAGGTGTTGAAGGGTGCTAATACAAGCTACTTTTTCTTTTATATAGAGTGAGGCAATATTCTGGAAAGTTTCTCTAAGACTAGGGAAAAATTGAAGGAGTCCTGTATGGTTTTTTTTTTTTTTTGCTTTTGTTTAAACAGCTGACATTCCTCTTCTTCAAAGGTTCTGCATTTGAGGTGTAGTGAAATCTTCACCAGATGTGATGTAGTTCCTTACAAAGGGGGTGGGGTCTGTGCAAAAATAACATTGA